AACTGTACAAAATGTACCCAGACAGGAAAAACTGTACACAATGTACCCAGACAGGTAAAACTGTACACAATGTACCCAGACAGGTATAACTGTACACACTGTACCCAGACAGGTAAAACTGTACACAATGTACCCAGACAGGTAAAACTGTACACAATGTACCCAGACAGGTGTAACTGTACACAATGTACCCAGACAGGTAAAACTGTACACAATGTACCCAGACAGGTATAACAATACACAATGTAATCAGACAGGTAAAACTGTACACAATGTACCCAGACAGGTAAAACTGTACACAATGTACCTAGACAGGTGTAACTGTACACAATGTACCCAGACAGGTAAAACTGTACACAATGTACCCAGACAGGTATAACAATACACAATGTAATCAGACAGGTAAAACTGTACACAATGTACCCAGACAGGTATAACTGTACACAATGCACCCAGACAGGTAAAACTGTACGCAATGTACCCAGACAGGTAAAACTGTACACAATGTACCCAGACAGGTAAAACTGTATACAATGTACCCAGACAGGTATAACTGTACACAATGTACCCAGACAGTACACAATGTATCCAGACAGGTATAACTGTACACAATGTACCCAGACAGGTAAAACTGTACACAATGTACCCAGACATGTGTAACTGTACACAATGTACCCAGACAGGTATGTAACCCAGACAGGTATAACTGTACAAAATGTACCCAGACAGGAAAAACTGTACACAATGTACAGACAGGTAAAACTGTACACAATGTACCCAGACAGACACACTGGGTATAACTGTACACAATGTAACTGTACACAATGTACCCAGACAGGTAAAACTGTACACAATGTACCCAGACAGGTATAACAATACACAATGTAATCAGACAGGTAAAACTGTACACAATGTACCCAGACAGGTATAACTGTACACAATGCACCCAGACAGGTAAAACTGTACGCAATGTACCCAGACAGGTAAAACTGTACACAATGTACCCAGACAGGTAAAACTGTATACAATGTACCCAGACAGGTATAACTGTACACAATGTACCCAGACAGTACACAATGTATCCAGACAGGTATAACTGTACACAATGTACCCAGACAGTACACAATGTAAGCAGACAGGTATAACTGTACACAATGTACCCAGACAGTACACAATGTAAGCAGACAGGTATAACTGTACACAATGTACCCAGACAGGTATAACTGTACACAATAACTGTACACAATGTATCCAGACAGGTATAACTGTACACAATGTACCCAGACAGGTATAACTGTACACAATGTACCCAGACAGTACACAATGTATCCAGACAGGTATAACTGTACACAATGTACCCAGACAGTACACAATGTAAGCAGACAGGTATAACTGTACACAATGTACCCAGACAGTACACAATGTATCCAGACAGGTATAACTGTACACAATGTACCCAGACAGTACACAATGTAAGCAGACAGGTATAACTGTACACAATGTACCCAGACAGTACACAATGTAAGCAGACAGGTATAACTGTACACAATGTACCCAGACAGGTAAAACTGTACACAATGTACCCAGACAGGTAAAACTGTATACAATGTACCCAGACAGGTATAACTGTACACAATGTACCCAGACAGTACACAATGTATCCAGACAGGTATAACTGTACACAATGTACCCAGACAGTACACAATGTAAGCAGACAGGTATAACTGTACACAATGTACCCAGACAGGTATAACTGTACACAATTTACCCAGACAGTACACAATGTATCCAGACAGGTATAACTGTACACAATGTACCCAGACAGGTTTAACTGTACACAATGTACCCAGAAAGGTATAACAGTACACAATGTACCCAGACAGTACACAATGTAAGCAGACAGGTATAACTGTACACAATGTACCCAGAGAGGTGTAACTGTACACAATGTACCCAGACATGTGAAACTGTACACAATGTACTCAGACAGGTATAACTGTACACAAAGTACCCAGACAGTACACAATGTACACAGACAGGTATAACTGTACACAATGTACCCAGACATGTGTAACTGTACACAATGTACCCAGACAGGTATAACTGTACACAATGTACCCAGACAGTACACAATGTACACAGACAGGTATAACAGTACACAATGTACCCAGACAGGTATTACTGTACACAATGTACCCAGACAGTACACAATGTACACAGACAGGTATAACTGTACACAATGTACCCAGACATGTGTAACTGTACACAATGTACCCAGACAGGTATAACTGTACACAATGTACCCAGACAGTACACAATGTACACAGACAGGTATAACAGTACACAATGTACCCAGACAGGTATTACTGTACACAATGTACCCAGACAGTACACAATGTACCCAGACAGGTATAACTGTACACAATGTACACAGACAGTACACAATGCTCCTGGACAGGTATAATTTACCAATATATGTACCCAAAGAGCCACCTGTACTAATGTATTAGTGTGATATCTGCCTTCCTGTAACTACTGAAGGGATAACTTTGGTAAAGAGAGATAGATCATGCAGCCTTGTGTTCGGGTAAAAGACCAGCACAACTGTTGTAAATTAACTCTGTTTGATGAAGCTGATATCAACAGGGCTTGATTCAAGGGAGGAAATGCTGTGATATACTTGGGAGATAGTAATATCTATTAAATATGCACTGGTATGTATCTGCTTGTTGGTGATAAGCTAGTCAGCACTGAACCCTTTACAGTTTGTGACTTTTTTTAATAAGTAAAAGATATTTCCTGCAAAAAAAAAGATAAAATTTATGACTGTATTTCATTAAAACTGGGAGTTTGTAAAATAGGATGTGCCATAGTGAGTTGAGGTACACAAAGTGTACTATGGAATATGTAATATACTGTTTCATGGTATATCTCTTGACATGATCACAGAATCTGCTAACGGCTCCACTCAAGATTGGCTAAAGATAGACTCTCCTTGTAACAGAACTGTGTCAATATGTCAATAGATAAGTGGTCTTGATCTCATTCACACAAGATTCTATGTATGATTTCTCAACTTACAGGTGTTAAATGATGTGAAATCCAAATCTTGCCAAGCATCTTGTACAAAGTCACCTTCACATGTAAATTTGACCTTCAGAACAAACTGGACCATCACACTTTAAAGAAAGTCTAAAAACTTTTTTGTTTTTGTTTTTTTGTGAAATTTCATAAAGATCAACAAGTACCTTTCAAAAAATGTTGATGAAATACATTGTATAAGTACATTTACACAACAAACAAGAGTATAAGTTGATAACATTGGGAACTACAGATATTGTGGGAAATGTTCTCATTTTAAATTGAATATGGTCGAGGGTTAGCGCGAACGCAGACCCCCACACTAAAAAATAGCGTACCCGAGTAATCCGCATTTGGGATTATCGCAGGGTTCAGCCCGACCAGAGTGCAATGGAAGGGCCTCAACCTGGGGGAACCGCCTTGCTGATCACGGTATCCCCTGTACCAGGTAAGTATGAGTTTATAGCTGTTGATTTTCATTATATACTGCTAGAATCAGGTATGAACCCTACCTTAACTCATTAGCATAGTGCAATTTGCAATTCTATTTTTGTCAACAGCAAAAGTAGAATTATGTCCTAGTGGTTGTATTTTTATTGGAAATAAGTTTTTGTACATTGTTGCAAATAGTCATCATGAAAATAAGGCTTAAAATGTTGCTTTTTTATCAAATATGTCAAAAATTTCTGTGTAAAAGCTATTTCTAATCCACTACTGCCCCCTAGTGGTAGGTCTGAATTACATTATAATCTATATAGATTGTTCAGTCAAGTGGGGATAACTGCAGTCTAAGGCATGCCAGCTACAGTCAATAATAAAATGGCATTCCCTGAAGCAATTCTGTATTAGATCTTATGGATCAATAAATGTTTTATGCTTTAATGTGACCACCATTATAGGTACAACCAAGTGATTTGAGAGATGAAGGTACTAAATACCTTACAATAGTAAACAGGATTACACAGTTACCATGTTGTGCCAAGTCATTGTATAATCATTGGGTAATTGATAAGTAAAGACAAAAATACATATTATTAAAACTTTTTTATATCATTTATTACTTTATTAGTATTGTAGAAAAAATAAATTCAATAATCAATAACAAAATTTTTTTAATTGATTTTTTTCACAATCCTCAGATATTACTTTATTTGGGGAACATTAAATTAAATTGCTGTTAGTCTTTATAACATGATCCAGACAAATTGTAGTTTGGAAGGAAAACTAAAGGGAGTACATTAACTGCAACACACTAGGGACTGGTTTCCTTCACTTATTAGTTTCGTCTACTGATTTCACCTCAAATATTTGGCTTCATCAGGACAATTTGGCTACTATGTTTTTCACCTAATTACTAAAGTTCTGGATAAATTTGTACAGTGACATCACATTATAACATACTCAATAACTCTATATATACCATATTCAATAATCTGATAAATATGTAACGTGGTATTACAGCTATATATCATAAATAGAAGGAAAACTGCAACAGCAAGACTAGGAATTGAACCCAGAACCTCTGACCTTTAGACAGACGCTCTAATCAATTGAGCATATTAGATAAAATCTCATTAGTAAAGTAAAAACCTTATCAAGAAATTAACAAATCATCTTGAGATTGTAAGGCAAATCTTATCTCTCAAGTAATCTTACCTTGTTAATAAATATTAATTTAACTCTGTCAAACCTTAAAATAAAGTCAACCTTACCTGTTAATAACTAAAAATTATAAATAAAATCCTACCTTGAAATTAAGTTACATAATTTACACTACCTGTGATTGAGTAAAAACATACCTGTAAATAAGTCAATATCTAAACTATAAGCAAACTCTTACTAGTAAAGAGGTAAAATCTGACCTTGTAATTAACTTATTAATTAAATAAATTCTTCTTTGTAAGTAAGTAAAATCTTACCTGTAAATAAGTAAAATCCCAACAGAATAGTTAAGACATCACAGCTGCAGATCTCCATCATGTCTCACTACTGCGTCTCGTCCCGAGTGTCACCACTCTGCTAGTCTGTACTGTCACCACTTCCACACACAGTAGAACCACCGCGAAGTGGCACTATAAGATGTTCTGTGACTACCCTCAGTTCCTGTTAGGGGTAACACTGTAAAGGCATTGACTATACACAGCTAGCACTAGTCGCTGACTTTAACCGATTCGTGATAGTTTGGTGTGTGGCACTCTTTATCAACTGACTCTGACTTTCCACTTCAGTTTGGTGTGGTACTATATGAACCCCACAGCTTTCTGCTATAGTTCTTGATGTCCTCAGGGACCCTGCAACTGTCCACTGCTTTTTAGTTTGACTTTAGATACAGTATATCCCAGACCTCGTCACTACATCTCACAGACTTCTGTCACAATGACTATTAACACCTGTTATTAGAATGGCACTTTAGGACACTAAATGTTCTGTCGTTATCCACTGTTCTACAGTATGTTACTCCCCGCGTCTAGTTCAGGAGTCTCCTCACCTTGCTGTGATTGTGGTTGGTGTTCAAACAAGACCTGTAAGGACAATTGAGATAAATGTCAACAGATTATGCTGCCTCCAGACTCCTCCCCCTGGTTGGAAGGTGGCAGTGCCTCAGTGTAACTGATGGTGATACAGTAGAACAGGCTGACCTCAGCTCACCAGGAATGGGATGACACACAAAAGGTACACCGCTCTACTGCTCTTGGCTGGGTAGAAGTATAATAACACCATTTTGGTAGTTAGTATCAATTATTGATTTTCACAGTGAATCATTTTAGTGTAATTATCATCACAACCATTATTCATTTGGGCAAAATTATTCAAAAAACAATAAAAAAAATTTTCAATTACAAAAATTTCAATTTCAATTTTAAAAGGATGCTTCACTTTTCCGTATTCTATTTCTTACTCCAACAAGACATGTTAACATGTTTTTCATTTACACAGAAAGCTATCTGGTCTTTCGTACCTATCATCTACTAATTGTCATTAATTATACTTAAACATCATACCTCATTTGTCTTCGTACCTATCATCTACTAATTGTCATTAATTATACTTAAACATCATACCTCATTTGTCTTCGTACCTATCATCTACTAATTGTCATTAATTATACTTAAACATCATACCTTATTTGTCATTTGTCATTAATTATACTTCATCATACCTATTTGTCTTCGTACCTCATCTACATAATAGTCATTAATTATAATTATACTTAAACATCATACCTTATTTGTCTTCGTACCTATCATCTACTAATTGTCATTAATTATACTTAAACATCATACCTTAACTGTAACAGGTAAAACTGTAGCTAAACACAAATCAGTTTAAACGATTTCAAATGTTTAAGTGGGTTCTTAAATTGATAACATCGACTCTTGAACACACCAATTGTAATACCAGTCCTGTGGGATTTCGTGATTGCTTATTTTCATGAGATCCAATAGAATGTGTCATCATAATTGACTTATCCAATTAAGCCTTCAGTTAGAAGTGTTTATTAAAATGCATGCGTAAATGTAGGATACCTGTTGAATACAACAATCACCAGGTTGTTTACAAAGTCAGGTTCTACGGCAGAATGTATTAAGTTTTTTTCTGTAAAGACAGTACAATACACAAATAATAACAATTTTTCTAACTTCTATTATAACGATTTTATTACCAATGTCAGAGCAGTGTGTATTAGGGCACACAATGATCAGTATGAAATAAATCAGCCTGTTTGAAGCTGACACAGCACCCAACAGTTGCATACACTTCATCATACAATAGGCTTGTGTAATCATGTGATAAGGTTCCATTACATAGCAGGTTTACAAAGTGAGTTCCTGAGGATTAATTTAGTGAAGTTTAGTATGATGGATGGGAGCATTAGTGAGATTTTCTTGATCATGTTTAAACAAACTTATGTTATATGTGTGATATCAGGTTCCAAATTCAAACGAATTCCACAAAGTTAAACATATAGTATAACAGTAAAATTGATCAAGTATTATTTAGTTTTATTAACGTCAGTACATGTTAAATCAGTACAGATACACATTCTATATATCACTTCACATCTTCTCCTTTTAAGTCTTTTCTGCAAGCGCACCCCCCACACCCCCCCCATCCCCCCATCCCTGCCTGGGTCATTATGACAGGGGTCTCCATGTAGTATTAGGTTGCTACTTTACTGAACAACATACCATGTGCATGCCATCCAGATGAATTAGGGTAAAGTGTCTTGCCCAAGGACACAACCACCTCAACATACACTGGTCATTGTGTCAGCTTCCTGAGAATCCCAAACTGCCATGGGTAGGTAGCATTGAATAACCCCCCCTACCCCACCCCCCCACCTGAGGTTACATAGGCCAACACTGCTCCAACAGACCTAACACAGGCCCTATCTTTAAATAAAAAGTTCAATAAGTAAGAAGTACAATTAGCTTTTAATTCAAACATTAATTTTTTTCATTTTTATTTCCATTCAAACATATTTCATGAGCAGGACAGAAGAGTGTTTACAAAATCTATGCTCTGTCTTCTTTAAACAGAATAAATGAAGCTGGCGGTTACAGCGGTTATTAATTGGTACCTGTCACACGGATTTTGAATTTAATCATGGATAAAAAACAAATCTGGTCTAAATTGGGAGATTGTGTGGTAGGATGGTTCTCCCTGGTGTCACAGTAAATTAATCTGAGGTGAGATAAGGGAGGTAGTGTTTCTCTGGAAGAGACACCTACCCGCACAGATAGCCTTCAAATTATCACACTAAGGTATCAAGTCACATGACCTCTGTACTGTTAGAGGTCAAGGTCAACGCTAGGGAGATCACCACCGATTGTAACCTAGTCTGTTGGAAGCTCATCTTCAGAAAAGATACATACACATGAGAACAAGACAGTAGTTTCCAAGACCGAAATCTACTGGATACTGATTTATAACAGCTAGTCATTTCCAGGAACACTATCTACTAGTTAGCACTATATAAGACTATCATTGCCACATTTTCCCACAGTTCAGTCCAAGAGAAACCTAACAAAATTCCTGATACTGTCCATAAAAGTTCATTAATCCAAGAACAAGTGATATCAAGTAATAATTGACACAAAGTTGATACAAAGGGGAACAGGTTCACAGGTTATCACAGATGTCAATATCTTATCATCAATAAGGCCATTTCTTCCATTCCTCAAATAATATTCATTATTTTCTAACAGTTCTGAGAATAATCTACAATCTACTGTAACTCTGACTAGCTTCAATACACTGCCAGGCAAGAGGGACCATCTCTTGACCTTGATACAGACTAGAAAACCAGTGCAAATCCTCGGTTTGATCCCTAACACAGTCACTTAATTATATAATGACCTTCATTTAATTACCTCTTGCTTCTATTTTCATCTTTCCTTTTATGATATCAATGTTGACATGATTAATAGAATCTTTTACCCTCTTGGTGGTGAGATAGGTGGATTTCAACCAGAGGGGAAAGATGATTAAGTTAAATGTAGCAAACACGAGGCTTGCTGAGTGTCTGCAACTTAAACATCTTTTCCCGAGGGTTGAGATCACCTTGTATCACCAACAAAAATGATTATTATTCCCATACCCTGCTGGCTTTATCACATATTTAAATGCGTTTTCGTTGCCCCTGTGCTTTGCATCATTGACTTGACATCAATAAATAGTTACTGTGATGTCCTATCATTGTCCTGACAGGGAAATCTGTAAGAGGCGTGGATGTACCTGTCCTAGGTAAGAGGCGTGGATGTACCTGTCCTAGGTAAGAAGCGTGGATGTACCTGTCCTAGGTAAGAGGCGTGGATGTACCTGTCCTAGGTAAGAGGCGTGGATGTACCTGTCCTAGGTATGAGAACAAACTTTCTCAAAAGTTGATTTCATTAATAAACCTGTGATCATCAGAAAATAGTCATAATTGTGAGCGAAAACACTCTACATGTTACACTAAAACATTTCTCTTCATCAATTATACCAAATCCCTCCTACAAAAAACCCATTAGACCCCATTCAAAGTATTTAAGTAGACTGATGGGTATTTGTGGTCAGAGTATTGTCCTACCGCGGGTGAAGATATGAGGTGACAGCTTGACTTTTCCAACCTATAGTGGTTTGTGTTTCACAGGAAACTGAGAAACAAACCTGTCTGTGCTGTCCAGGTTGTGTCCTTGTGCAAGACACTTTACCAACTGGATGGCAAGCAATGTGTCTCCCACATGTTGTTCAGTAAGGAAATTACCAACTACTACACAAGACCCTGCCTCAAAATGTCTGTGGCTGTTCAAAGGATGACAAAGTTTGTAAACAAATAAACAAGAAGTAGTCATTGATTGATTTTCTCCACATCAATAGATAACCTGGCATTGATTTATTGATTGGTAACTATGGTTACAAATTATTTATTCAGGATTACACATTAGGGTCAAAACTAATGATCTTCAAAACTATATTGATACCAGTACAAATAGATAGTGATAAAACTATACAAGTAGTAATAATCACATGATCTTTGACTTGTCTATACAAAATAAGGGTCTGAGGAAGGGGAGATCTCACTGAATATGTAGTAATTGAAGAGATAAAATTTGTCTTCTCAAATCAGCTATGTTAAACTTGTGGTTTGTGCTCACTAGACAAAACTGACAACTGTAAAAACGGTATCGCTAACTATAAGTACAGTTATAACTTTCAGAGTTAACACTAGAGAGTTGTCAGAGCAAGCAAAACTACATATACATATTCTCATTAAATCAATCACATTTATTTCCACCTTGCAGCTCTTGGTCACACCTACACAATCTGCTGTCTACAGGAGATGTGAACATCCTTATTATTCCTTTTTGACACTGACAGATGGGAACTCCCAGTGTCATCAATCTTCAGTAACCAGAATCACTGCTTCAAATCCAATATGGCCATAACAGTTGGCTTGAAATAAATTTCATTCATCATATCAAATTCATCAATCCTTCATCTGCAGGTAGATCTTTGTTCAATGGGAGCAAACCAATTCTGTTCATCAGCCTAAACAACCATATCTGTTCATGTGCAGTCAACCGTATCTGATAATTAGTAAATCAGATCTGCTGATCTGCTTTCAATTATACGGATATGATTGTACTCTTAATGGGATTACAGGTTACAATGACATCAAGGTAAACAAAAACTTATAAAAGATGCAATTCAAAAACCATGAATAAAGAGCAGAGGTCCTGAAAGTAGCAAAGAATATGAAGCAGAAAAACAATTATATAACTGTTCAAAATAAGAAGAAAGAAACATCATACCAATGTGAATATACTAGTAGTCCTTTCATAAAGCTGTATAGTAATATGTACAATTATAACCCTATATATAACTGTAGGTGGATGTACCAGTAGTAAAACTGTACCCTATATATAACTGTAGGTGGATGTACCAGTAGTAAAACTGTACCCTATATATAACTGTAGGTGGATGTACCAGTAGTAAAACTATACCCTATATATAACTGTAGGTGGATGTACCAGTA